GCCTTTCAATGGGTCCCCATCTGGCTCTGGCTCTGGCTCTGGCTCTGGCTCTGGCTCAGGGAGGCCGCGGGAGGCCGCGGTGGGCAAAAAAGCCCTGGGAGGCACCCCTTGCTCCCGCAGCATCCTGCAGGGACGTGCATAAATCTCTCGCTGTTGCCCACCCCCCTAATCTTGGACAGCGAAGACCCTGATGGGGCTGTGCCTTCTCTCCCAACCTGACCTTCAGGAGATCATAGCTGGCTTGGCCCCGTCTGGTGTATCTGCTGCAGAGAGAGATGGGCAGGGCAGGGAGTGGAGGGGGGCTTTTTTGTGGATCCCCCTTTCTCAGCGCCCCAAACAAGGGGAGGAGGCTTGGCTTAGCTCCCCATCCCCAGAAGATTTGGTTATTTTAAATTGCTTGGAGCAGCCTCGCAACCTGCTTTCCAGTGGGGGCAGGGACCCTTTCTAAGGGTGGGCTTTGGGAAGAGGGGTGGTCAAGGGTGCTCCTGGCCCCTGTTCCTACACTGAAGTCTTTCTCTCCCTCTCCACCTGCAAGGGTTTGCTAGCCCCGTGCTTTTGAAACCTTGACAAGTTTAAGATGAGTGGACTTCAACTCCCAGAATTCCCTAGCCAGCTGGCTGGGGAATTCTGGGAGTTGGAGTCCACCCATCTTAAAGTGCTGGCTGGACGATTCTGGGAACTGAAGTCCACCCATCTTCAAGTTGCCAAGGTTGAAAAACAGTGCTAGCCTTCAGATCCATTAGATTAATTAATATGGATACTGAATAGAAGTATTAATTTGCTTGTAGTTTAGCATTCTTGCACTCTGCTTTTTACTTCCGTTCTTTCCTTTTCTGCACCTCCCTGCCCTTTCTCTGAATTTTATTTTTTATACTTCATTCCACACCCTGCTTGCTTCAAACATCCCAAAACCCAGCTTTTTATACTGAATAAAGATTCCTGTTTATATTTTTTTTCCTTAACGTTGGAAAGAACTGGTGATTTGGCCCACGAGAGACTTTGGATTCTAAACCGAGGTGAAGTCAGCTCTGTTTTTTAGCACCGGCTGCTGCTAGGACTGGGCGGGACAAGTGCCATTCTGCAAAATTCCCCCAGCTTTTTCATCCCCCCCCCCCAGCTCCAGGATCTTTTAGGCGGGGAAGGGTTGGAAAAACGTCCACGCAGGAGTCACGAATGCTGGCTGTTGACATGCTTTGCTGCTTTTTAAGTTGTTTTTTTAATTAAATAACAGCTACGGGAAGGGGGCTTCAGTCAACCCAGGGCTGGGGGGGCAGAAGTGTTTTTAAACCTTTCGCACCCGGCTCGTGCTGTGGTCTTGAAATAGTTATTGCTGCGATTTCAGTGGTGCTCTAGAACAAAAGGGCTCGGCGCATCTTCTCCCACCACAACTGCGGCGCCCCTCAATTGCACCCGAGTAAGGTGGTCACTGAATAGCCCCTGACTCCTCGGCAAGCCATTGCTCCTAGCTGAATCACGGGGAAAGGACTTCAAGGATTGAATATCTGCTTTTTCTCTCTGACGTCTCTGGGTTATTCTAAAGCAGTGTTTCTCAACCTTGGGCACTTTAAGATGAGTGGACTTCAACTCCCAGAATTCCCCCAACCCACCACCCCCGGCGGGGGAATCTTTGTTGTTA